GTTTGAGCACCGTTTGAGCACCGGCACCGTTTCAAAAGTACCGATTTGGCACCGGTATCGGATAAAACCTAAACAATACCCATCCCTACTGATGAACGCCTGAGTGGCAATCAGGATTTAAATTACTCAGGTGTTTAACCTGAGTAATTTAAATCCTTCTCAGGTTCCCGTGTGGCAGTACGAGGCTCTCTGTGACGGCCTCGGGCTAGGAGGTGAGAGGTGGAAGGGTAAACTGAGCCATGAAGTCATGCTCCACACCTCTGTAGCATTCTTCTTTCCTTTCTTTTTGCTTTCTCTAAACCTGATTTTTTTCCTTCTGTTGGTCTAAATCCTTCCTCGGCCTCTTTCCAGCCACACCTGCATCATGCTCACCATGTATTTATTTAGCCATCATGTGAAAAACCAGAGGGCAGTCCACATAAAACAGGAGCATGATGTCACTGTTTTCAGTGACAAGATTTGCTGTAGGTGCGATTTGTAGGAAAACACAAACCTGTAATGGGTTTATACCTCCACCTCCTACTGCTGTTGTTCTTGTTCTTCGATGTTCCTGTAGCTCTCTAATCGCTCTCTCCATTTACTATACTTTGTTGGTTGAATCCATTTTTGCGTTCTTGTCCATCAGCCGCCTCCACCCCTAATTCATAAGTAATGACCATGCAGCAGGCAGGCGGAAAGCCAGCCAGAGCAGCAGAGCAGACATGCTGGCTGGCCAGACCTCGTCCCAGTGGAGCAGAGCCACTTATCTCTCACAATAATGACATATGCATCGACTGGCTTAAGGGGAAGCGGCTAAAAAGAGAGTCCGGATTGGGAAAGTATTGCAGGTTTTTCACTCCTTATACATTAAGTGTAGTAGACTTTATTGAGAGCTGTAATACATTTTGATGACACTGGTTAGGAAAAAGCATGTGTATGTGATACAAATACAATTAAAATCTTTACTGCGGATATTGTCATTCACAACATATACACAGATGAGCTCATATGGAACAAAAGCGAAAGTGAAAATGTTCTCCCAACCATTTCCAGTAGGTAGATTGTTACACTTCTAGTTAGCCTTTCATAACTAGCTTTATAAGCCTAAAAATAAAACCAGATGTGCTTAAAATAGATCAAAGATGGTTGTTAAAAACGAAGCTCTGAGCTGCTCACATTTTCTACCTTGATACATTTCGTTCATGTTCAGTAGCTCAGTGGTGTCTTTATCTATTTTTAGATGTAACTCTTTCTTGGATGCTTTGAAGTACTAACATGGAGAGCAACTCACTGTCAATGCACTACATACTGTTTTTATATTGTAGTTTGGATGCTCGCTAGAAGTACGCCGACCTTAAATGGCCAAAAAACAATAAAATGATGATGTGTCTGTTTGTGGACTTGTTTCATTACATCATTATTTAATACGTTGTGCTGACTTATTACATGGAACCCAAGCACTGTAGCCTATTTCCAAATGAAGTGAGAAGTTATCTACCAGTTACTGCCGGGCGGTTTGCTCAGAAATTGTTTAACCACAGTCTCCTTGGAAAAGAAATGCTAAATAATTGGCATATAAAAACAAGCAAAACCTACATCCATTAACACGTAATGGTAATAAAAATGGGACTAAAATACTACCCTGTGGAACGCCACAAGTTATGCACTTTTGGCTTGAGACAGCTTGTGTCCTGAGGTTGACCTGAGTATTTTCCCTCTTTGTGCTACTTGACATTTTACGTTAATGCCTCAGTCGCACAGGCCACAAGTCCAATCAGTGATCTACCCGGTAACCACTGGTCGCTAGGGAAACATGGGTATTCCTTGAAAGTAACAATGTAATAGTAATTAATATAATTACTAAATTTAGTACAGTAACATGCTACCTCGTTGCATAGAGGGTTCTGATCCAAAACCCACCATGTGATCGTTTTAGTTGCTGGCAGGATACCACGGTCACCAATAGATACTCTCATTACTCTGCAAGCGGCAGTAAAAGTTGAAAAAATGTGATACTAACCGGAAAAAGAGATGGTTTGACCTCAGAGTAAAAGTTGTGCATTACTGCTGTAGTGGTAAAGGTGCAGCTTTTTCTTTGAAGGGAAACTGTGTCCATTTCACTACCACTCTGAGTAATTTGCAAGTTCTTTTCCATGCAAACTACTAGCAACCTTGGTAACCAGGTTACCAAGGTTACCAAGACCAAAAGGAGGTTTTTGGTGCAGCGATTTTCACACAAGCAAATCCGAGCCACCACTCCCCAACAGATCCAGGAGTATACACTTTTCCATAGCGACTGGTGGTTGAGTGAAGGGGTCACTGACTGGTCTATAGGCCTATTTGAGTTTTAGTGTTTTAGCAATGGATTTAACAATGATTGCCACCAACCACTGTAACCATTCGGGGAATACACATTTTACACTAGCGACTGGTTGTTAACGAGTCTGTAGGCTTGCGTGACTGGGACCTGGGACGTGATAAAGTCAGTGCACATATTTTGGAATAGATAGAGCTGATGGTGCATACTTACATGGACTGTAGACAGCAGACTTCCCTGGTGGACTTGTCTCTTTGCTCATGTTATTGATCTTTAACCCCACTTTTCCTACCTATGTGCACCTAGTTCATATTAAATAGGGGCAAAATGGCCCACATAAGTTAGAAAAAAGTCATTAGCAGATATTTAAGGTAAAAACTTTTTTGTTGTTTACAACAGAAAATAATTTTTTCTACCTTCAAAGCGGTTTTTAATTCCTTTGAATGATGTTTAGTGTACATTTTCTGTCAGTGAGTTTGAGAACTACATTTTGGTTAAAGAGCAACCCTTCATACATCCGTCTGCCATGATGCATATGGTGTCATTCCTTAATTAAGTTAACCCCCCTTTTACTGTTTGTTTGATGGTCCATAGATGCTGCAGTAACCCTGCAGAACATGTTTTTATTTTATTGTTTATACTTTAACACGCTGGTTTCTGTGTCATGCTTTTTATCTGAGACGTGGCTGACCACCTCTGATACTGAAATAAAATCTGTGCTGCTTTTATTGTTTTATGGTTTACCAGTGAAGCCATCGCTGCTTTGATCTGAAAGGTCTGTGTCACAAAGCATGAGATAAGGCGAACGCTCTAAGAGTTTTTTTTAATTTTGCACTTCTTATGGAGCAGCGAGTGTTAGTTTTGTTATCAATTCCCTGTCTTATTACATCTACCATTAAATAATACCCTCCTGTGCTCGTGGACCAGGAGGCTTAGTGCCTATAAAATCCTCTGTCTTCATAACTGTGCGATGGATGGCTCTCCTTGGCTGACCTCTCTTCTCCTCGCCCTTCCCTCAGATGACATGGCGTCCTCAGTACCGCAGCTCCAAGTTCCGCCACGTGTTTGGTAAGGCCGCCACCAAGGAGAACTGCTTTGATGGCGTGCCAATCACACGCAGTGTGCAGGACAACAGCTTCTGTGCGATCAACCCACGTTTCCTGGCTGTCATCACTGAGTGTGCTGGAGGAGGGGCCTTCTTGGTCCTGTCTGTCCATCATGTGAGTATCTGTACCTCGCATCAGGTTCACAGGCATGAGCCATGACATGAGCAGTATGTCAGCATTTACCTCATAATGCAGAGAAGACACAAGAATAAGGTGCCATTTTTTTCCCCACTTGTGTAGTTCCAATCAGACAAAAGACATAAACTGAGCACCTCTGACTCCTCAAAGTTAGGAATGACTCAAATACTGTGTGTCTGCTTTATTTCTAAGTGGCAGCTGTTGTCCCAATGAAACAACATCTCAGCAAATCTGAGGATTTTTTTTTTTGGCTGGGTTACAGATGAAGTCCATATATTAAACAAAAAACGGTGAGCAAAAAGTTGTGACATTATGGAAGAGATTTTAGGTGTACAGGTAGTTGGTCTGCAGAAATGCTGTCTCTTAACTTGTCACATTTCTCAGAAGATAAAGTGAAAAAGTTCACTTGTGTTTGTGGTTCTTAAAAAATGCTTCTTTTGACTAGCAATGGCATAGACAGCTTCATCTCTTACTGTTGATAAATTGAAGGCAAAAGCAAACAAACATGATCTCAGTAATTAGAATAAAGAAAACACTGGATTAACTGTATGAGCATTAGTTGTTCCTTAGCATCATGTCACATTGCTGTTAAATATCTAAGGCCTCAGACATGCAGATCTACAGACAGGTCAGGGCCCTCCTGGCAAGCAACAAATGCTAGGGAAAAATGTGTATTCCCCAACTGGTTTGCAAGTGGTTGCTGGGTGAGATCAGTCACAAAGAGGGTACTTGACATGGTCTGCATTTCCTGTTTGTGTTACATTTTCACAGTTTCACTACCACTTGGTGAGTAGTTGAAGAGTGTTTGCAGACAAGTCTGCGTCTTCTATGCAAACTACAGGCGACTGTGGGAATACGCTAGTAACTAAAGGAATTCGTGCAGCACTTTCTTTGTGACCAATGCCACCTAGCAACAGCACGTGACCTTCAGCAACCACTCAGCAGCCAGTTGAGGAAAGCACAGTTCTTTTTTAGCGACCAGTGGTTGCTAGGAGATCGCCGGCATGCGTGATTGAGGCCTTATCAAACAAATGAGGATTTCCACACAAAAAAAATCAAACAATTTTTCCATCGCTTTCTTTTTCTTCATTTTTTTTAGGCTGTTTTAAAAAGGTTTCCCAGATGACTGCATTTTTTTTTAAATCAATTTCTTCAAACTTTAACTTGTTTCCCAAGAGAGCACAAGGGTTGGAATATCCAAATTTATTGAAAAAACTGTTCTGAGAGCACTATAGACTGTAGTGATATTCAAAATGGATTCGCGTGATTGTTCCTTTTCTGGTTTCACAGATATATTCAAAAACAAAATGGCCCTTCTGAACTTTCACCACGCCAAAGATTTCGCACATGTTTGAGCAAAGATCAGCCAAAAAGCTCTTGCTTCTCAGCATTTTTCTTCTAACCTCAGATAAAGTGAACGTTTTGGAGGGCAGAATTGTCTCTGCTAATTGTTCACCATCTCTTTCTTCTTTTTTGTTCTCCCTGCATGGATATACACACCTGGGTCTGATTATAAATAGCTCAGCATTAACACAGCCTGAAGAATCTCTAAATAAAGTACAACCCTGGCTGCTCATGTGCTACAACTTAAATATCACATCATTAGTCTGTCTCATTCCCCCTTCACTCTTTCACACATGATTTACGCGTGTTATGACATCCACTGCTGATGTCAGCCACAACAGCAGAACAAATAAAAGTCGGCCCTCACGTTCTAAACAGATCCTCTGTCTCTCTGTACATCTCCAGTCCAGAGGGATTCATCAAGCTCCACACCTCTCTTTACTTTGCCTCTCAGTTTGAGTTATCACCATCCTCCTGGCATGGGTAAGAGTTGCATAGGAGCTTAGGAATGACATAACTCACGTTCTGACCCCTCTCTTCCCCTCCGTTTCACTATTCAAAGGATGTGAAATTTCAGCACTCCCTCCCCTCAATCGCCTCCACATCCCACCTCTGCCTGTTGCAGATGAGCTGTTGTTCTGTGACGAAAGTAGTTAATGCATATAAAAACAGGAGCAGATGTAATACTTTTTTGCGTGCATGCGTTGGGCTCGCTCGAAGTTTAAATAATGGTTACGTCATTTTCTTGTTTCAAACACACCTTACGCACCTACAGGCTAGATTATTGAGCAGGAATGTCAGTTTAAAGGAGCTTCGGCTTATACGAATGGAACAATTAGCCGGCTTGTTGAGGCGGAAAATCTTCCGCGTTGTACGAGTATCACTGGGTGTGTGTGTCTGTTAAAAACAGTTAGTGTAATTCCACCTTCAGTCTGAGTAGTTAGTTGTCATGTTGTCATGTAGAGTTGGCTTTTTTTTCTTGAATGAAAATACCCGCCCTAACCTGCACATGTCAGCACGTCGTGTTTAGATACATGGAATTTTCACTTACCTTTGGTGGTTCCAGAGGCAGCTCTCATAAACGTCCTCAAGGGATGTCACTTGAGTGTGGTTGTAGCCACAAGGTACAAGTCTCAAAGTAAAGGGGAAAAGAAAAATCTGGTGTGGAGTTGCTACATTACAGATTACTTGGCTGCATAATGCAGCAGGATCTCAGACTGAAATGTTGGCTCTCCTGGTTTGATTTCTTTTTTCTTTTTTTAATTGTCCATTATGAGTCTGTTTATGATGAGCTGTGACTAAATAGATGGAATACTTATAAGCACCAAATTCACTCAGTGCGTAAGAAGATGTTTATACAGGCAGACCTGCAGATATTAACGCCAAATCTGCAGTTTCACTCAGATTAAAGCAAAAGTCTACGTCTTTTAGTGCCTGTCTGGGCTTTTGTTGTTCGTGTTTTGTTCTCATTTCTCATCAGTTTTAGGTTTTAACATAGCTGACTGCCTATTTAGCATCACTTAGCAGCTAAATCCCGATATTTTCCCAGAGGAGTTGGTAGAGAAACCCCCCCCCCCAAACAAAAACAGTTGAATTCACTGGCTGACGACAAATGCAACTCCAGGTGAATGCTAATGTTATTCTATCATACATTCACTCAGTTTAACGTCGATAGGTTATATCGCTGCCCACAATTGGCCAAAAGAAAAAGTTCAGCTGTTAGAAGTATATAGAGGCAGCCTGAGCTCTCCAAACTCTGTAACAAGGCTGCACAGAGGTCAAGGAAACTGCTTTTTATGTGGGCAGCTCGACTTCTTGGATTGAGCAACAAAAAAACTCTGAAATTACAGACACCAGTTCTGTGATTTTTACGAACATAACCTTCAAGGGCACTTCAGGGGACTGCTGGCACAGTTTGTTTTAATGTACAGTATAGTGCAAAATTGTTATTTTTGCATGTTTTTAAATAGGCTGCCTTTTTTGTTTTTCGTCTCTTTCCTTCCTCTATATGTTGGTTCTGTGCAGCTCGGGTTATGGTCACTACATGCCAGTTACTGTAGATAAAGGATAAAGCTTGATTTAGACTTCTGTGGGAAATCTGCATCCTAACTTAATCGGGGACTCCTCTTAACCCTACACTACGACTTTCCATGCCATTCAAGTCACTGTGGGCTGGGTTAACCCGACCTATATTGTGTGTGTGTGTGTGTGTGTGTGTGTGTGTGTGTGTGTGTGTGTGTGTGTGTGTGTAAGATGCTGTATATTATAAAGTGAAGAACCTACAAAAGTAGAAAGGAAACCCCAACTATCAGACATCTCCCTATGAGCAAGCGGTTGGTGACCATGGGAAAGAAAAACTCCCCTTTAACAGGAAGAAACCTCCAGCAGAACCTGGCTCAGGGAGTTGCAGCCATCTGTCATGAGCAGTTGGGGGTGTGGAGAGAAAGATGGGACAAAAGACACGCAGAGAGACGGAGATTAATGATAACTAATGATTAAATGCAAAGTGGTGTATAAACAAATAAATGTGGAAAAAAAAGGTGAGTGAACAAGGAACACACAGGGCATCATGGGAGGCCTCAGCGGCCCAGGCCTATTTTAGCATAACTAAAGTTCAAGGTCACCTGAATCAGCCCTAACTGTAAGCTTTAAAAGTAGAGAGGGCGTCCGTCCTTCTGTGAGATAAGATGGGGCCCGATTATTCATAACAGGATATGTGAGGAGAAGGATTTCTCATTCCACAGTGTAGCGAGCAGCTGATTAGTGGTTTCACTTTTGTTTCCAAGAGGAAAAATATTGTGATTTTCCCTAATGTCCATGTTTTGTGTTTAAAATTTTGCCAGACGGGTAAAGTGGACCCTCAGCAACCTCGAGTGTCGGGCCACAGGGGCAATGTGTTAGACATCAAATGGAATCCCTTCAACGACTGCTGCATCGCCTCCTGCTCCGAGGACGCCACGGTTTGTACACCGGAACGCACACAGAGTCCATTTTCAGTGAGGTTTACTGACGTGTTGTCATTTTCATGGGATTTGAGCATGTTGCAGCAGGGAGATCATTTTATAGCCTTCAGAAAGGAGCTAGAAGTCATTCCTCACATTCCTCAGCTCTGACCTGGCAGATGCTCAGAACAAATCACTGTAGAGAGAGAGGAAAAAACCTAGTTTCAGGCTATTTCTTTTAAATGTCTTTCTCTGTTGGCTGTTCTTTGTGGATTGAGAAAGAGATGGTTTGTTTCTGGCACGGATCTTCATCAATTTGGTCCTCTTTGTGTGTGTTTGTAGGTTAAAGTGTGGGAAATCCCTCCTCACGGTGTGTATAAAAACATTACAGTACCGTGGAAGGAGCTCCAGGGTCACAGTCGCAGAGTGGGCCTCATCGAGTGGCACCCAACTGCTAACAACATCCTCTTCAGTACTGCCTATGACTACCAGGTAACACACACACACACACACACACACACACACACACACACACACACACACACACACACACACACACACACACCACCTCTTACACAAGTCTGGAGTCATTTATAGACAATAAGATAACGAGGCATGAACTCCGAAAGCACTGTGACCTAAACCGAGAGCACTTATCTGTCACAGTGCAGCCCTGCAGTTCACACTGAACTGACCTGTAAAGATTTCAGATATTACATTACACAGCATCACGAGCACTTTGTTTGTTAGGCTAAGTACAGTATTCAGATCGTTTTGGGCCGTAGGTGCGATGTCTTAACTCCAGAGATACGTGCTCCAGTTACTGCCTGTATTTGCACACATGCTGGCCTCCCATGTTTAAACAATTCTGCCTCTTTTCATCCACACAGCTGAGTGCAATAGCACAAATTCCTTTGAGATAAGCAAAGTATGCACTGTTATGTCCATTCGCACAACCGTTATGCACCACTCTCTGTAATTACTCGGCCCTCTGAGCGGCTTAATCGTACGTTGGTGATGTCAGTGCATCGTTGTTTTTTGATACAAAGTGGTTTACTTGTAGCACACCACCAGTTACTTTCTACCCTTTAATGTGTCTGACTTCTTGGCTTAACCACCTGCGTTGATCTCTGTGTGTTTCTCCGCCTCCAGATAATGATCTGGAACCTGGACTGTCCGGAGCCGGTGATAAAGAACCCCGTGCGGACCATCAGTCACCACCCAGATGTTGTCTTGTCCATGTCTTTCAATACAGATGGAAGTCTTCTTGCTACCACCTGCAAGGACAGGAAAGTCCGCCTGATGGAGTCGCGCTCTGGAACGCTGCTGCGGGTACTGCTGTGTGCACGGGTGCACTTCTCTTATCTTCCCTTTTTTTGTAATGGGGGGAAACCGGCAGTTATCTGAATTTAAACACTTTGATTTTAGGTGGAAGACTCAGACTTAAGTTTAATTACCTCAGTCAGAAGCTGCAAATGGTATCGTTTAACAGTAGGAAGTTCAGACCAGCGTATAGTCCATGTGACAATCTGTCTAAACTGGCTCTCATTTGTAAAAGAAAATTATTGAACTGTAAGCCTGCGTTTGGTCCACAGTAGCATCACAGCAAATATTACATAAGTGGGAGTTCCCTGCTTGTTACTGCCCCCTCCGCTCCCTGCGTGGGCACCCAGGCACTCATCCAGCACCACACAGCCAGAATTGATACCTCTGGCCTGGCCTGGATAACAGAGTAGCCCCACAGCCCACCGGGTCACCAGCTAGTGATTCACACACTGTTCATCAGTCTTTTCTTGCTTCCTTTGCCCAGTCAGGGAACTCCTACACATATTACATCCCAGTGGTGTAACACAAACCTCTTTATATGACTTATAAGTGGCATAAATGTTCATCAGGGTTCATTGTTTAATGCTGCACGTCATGTGTACTGTGTCACGTTTGCAGGAAAGCAACTGCAAGACGCACAGAGCCAATAAAGTGCTGATCTTGGGAAACACCAAGATGCTTCTCACGTCGGGAACGTCGCGCTACAATGATCGGCAGATAGCACTGTGGGATCAGGTGAGAGACGTTACAGAGCAATGCAGCAAGACATTTGCAACAAAATATCACAATTTTACAAAAAGCTTTTGTGTTTTTTGTAGCAAAGCAAAAGGTTGAGGAAAAAAAGAGAAATGTTCATAGTAAAAATGGCATTTTTGAGATCTCACACACGTGTTTATTTACATTGAACACATGATTACTAATAGAATATTAATTGAAATAGCTAATTGATGAAGAAAAGCATTAATGTCAGCAAATGTCTGGTGGGGGTGTTTGTTTGTTTTTGTTTTTTTTTTGTAAGTCGACACTCCTCACATCGATTACTTGTTAAACTTGTAGATATTTCTGATCAAATTAGGATCATTCTGACGAGGATTTGCAAAGACAGGACAGACCCTGGATAATAAATATCGCAGCACAAGCATTCGTGTAAACAATTGTAATTGTGAGCTCAGCGCTTACCTGCTGGTCTGGATGCTGGAATAATGAGAGCACCCTGTTCCTTGGGGGCGGTCTTGGCTAAGAATAGTCAGGCTGGTGTGAATAATTCGTACTAAGTTTAATATATTGAACACTTATATCCAGGGAATTTAGCAGGACTGCAGGAGGAGGAGAAATCGGGAAATTGGCAACAACAGAAGGGCCACAAATAAGTGAAATCTAAGCTTACAGAGTATTAATAGTAACACGAGTGAAGTAATGGTCAGCATATTACGTCACCATTGGAGAGGTCATGACTTTAGGCAGCTTCATTTCCTGGCCTACATCATTTAAACCCCTGAGCTTTGAGATAAAGTTTTCTTACCTGTGAAATTATCTGATGTGCAGCCAGGTTCATGTTCTGACCTTTTTTGCACAAGGAAACATTTTTTGTAGCGTTTTTCTGACAACATTTGAGGATTTCTTTTTCTTGTAAAGTCAGAAGTTGTTGTATTAATGATATCTCAGAATACTTCCTTCACTACCAAACACCTCTCGAGCCTGTCACAAGTGCAACTCTGCCACCTAGTGGATGAAATGCACCAGTTCAGCAACCCTGCACGTTTACCTGAGCAGCTCACTGATTCCCGTGTTCAAGTGGAGCCAAAGTTATTTGTCACATCGCGATTATGTCATCACCCAGTCTCATCACACATAGTAGTCTAGTAGTAGTAATAGTTGGTGTGCCAGGCTGGCGTGTTGTGATGATTTAGAGCGTATCGTGGGTGGAGGATTAAGGCAAAGCTCGGATTAGGGATTGAGCGCTCAGTGTTTTTAATTCGCCGCTGCAGAGTGCTTCTTAGGGAGCATTGGATTTCAGTCAGTGTTTTGATATTTTCTGTATGTTGTTTACATCAGCGCCGCGTAGGTCTTGTGTTTTAACACGTTTTTGATCCTCGTGTGTGTTTGTAGGATGATCTGTCCGCGCCTTTATTGGAAGACAACCTGGACGGTTCGTCGGGGGTCATTTTTCCTTTCTACGACCCCGACACACACATGCTCTACCTTGCTGGGAAGGTGGGACTCTGAAACATGTTAAAAAAAAACCCCCAAACAAATCATAACAATCATATTAAAAGCTTCATACAGAAAATATTCTTTATTACTGTTACAGAGACTTACGCTTTTTATCTTTTTAGGGTGATGGAAATATCAGGTACTATGAGATCAGCACAGAAAAACCATACCTTCACTTCTTAACAGAGTACCGCTCACAACTACCTCAGAAAGGACTGGGTAAGGAACACACGCACATAAACACGCGCTCAATTTTAAACTTTATTAATGTCACCGACACATTATTTCCTAAAGTGAGTGTTAATAAAAGACGTGACAGTTGAACCCTGTTTGGAAACTCCGCCTACCGTGATGACACTGTGCACCTTTAAGCAAATTTGCTGTGCAAATAAGCCTCCAATATTTGCATAGCCAAAACAGCTGATCGAAGGGGTTGTGGCTCAGGTCAGGTGTACAGGCAGCAAAAAAGTCACATGTGCACTTGTTAGATTTGTTATTTCACCTGTTTGTTGTGGTTAAAATGTATATTATGAATTCCCAAAGCACTTAGTGAAGTGGACTTGTAGTGGCTCTGCTTTATAAAGTTACTCTGATTCAGGTTAACCTTTAACTGCCTGCTGCTCTGCCTGCAGGTGAATTTCCTGGTGACAGAGGAAAGTGTGTTTTTAAAAAATAAGATTTGAGTCCCCATATAAATACAGTACATCTTACTTGACTAATATTGATGCTGAAAATAGAATGAATACAATCTGTGTGCATCTGTGTGTTAACCTGCAGGTGTGATGCCGAAGCGAGGCCTCGATGTGAGCTCCTGTGAAATCTTCAGGTTCTACAAACTGGTGACAATCAAGAGTCTCATCGAGCCTCTTTCTATGATTGTACCCCGCAGGGTAAGTGTTGCACAAAAATGGCAGACACCACTGCACAAAGAAAAACAAACATCCAAATTGAACACATTTCACAGACCTGATGTTGAATATTTTTCTGAATCTGCCGTGCACGTGTCTCCAGTCGGAGTCGTACCAAGAGGACCTCTATCCAATGACGGCTGGAAACAGGCCTGCTCTGACTGCAGAGGAGTGGCTCGGTGGCATGGACAAAGGTTAGAAGAAAAGAAAGATTGTGCGTGAGATCTGTTTGTGTCCAGTAGCCTCTGAAATTGCATTTATTTGTCACCTTTGATATTCCGGTGCTTCACTTGTATGTGGGTAAATGGAATATCCTTTCAATAGTCTTTTAGCTTGTCTAATGAGTGTTTAAATCCCTGATCAGCATCCTTTGTTTCCTAGGTCCATTGCTAATGTCTTTGAAGCCAGGAAGTCAAATAGCAGAGTCCTTCTCAGACATGAAGGCAGTGGGCAACTCACTGGAAAACTCGCTAGACACTCGCAGGTCTCAGGGCAGACCGTGCATGCTACAGCTCGCTTACATTCAGGACCAACTGGAAGCCAAAGAAAGCAAAGAGGACAGCAGC